GGAGCAGAGAGGCAGGCTGGAGCGTGCTCGCACGGACTCTGCAAACTCGCAAGAGACAACTGGGCACAGCTCTGCCTTCAGTGATGTTGTGTTGGTAGCTTGAACTCGGCCACAGAGGGAGGGTGAAAAAAACCCCACAGAAATCGATACATGGTGAAATCAGGGCTTTAGATTTTTTATATCTTAATTTCTTTCTTGGACCCACCCTTAGCAGCCCAGCACGGGCGGGTTTAGAGAGCTTGCCAGGGCCTCACAGTGGTGGAGGGTTCTGAGCCAAGAATGGATGTGAAGTGACTTGGGTTTTAACAGAGTCTCCAGCCACCATGTGGGGAAGAGACTGTGGGCGTTGGGGGCGGGGGTGGGGAGGGGCTGGGAGGCCGGTGAAGAGGCAGATGTGGATCCGGTCGCGTTGCCAGATTTAGCGAATGAAAATACAGGACGTATGCAGTATTTGGGACATTGGTAACTGAAGGGGGACTTATGGCTCATCCGAAAGTCCGCCATGACTGGACATCCCGTGCGTTATTTGGCAGCCCCACGTGTAGGTACCAGGCGGGAGGAGGTGGTCCACACCTGCTTCGGGAAGATTCGCTGTCCAGTTCCCGAGGGACCCTCCCCTGTGGCCACTCCCGCCCCCCTGGGGTGTCCGGCCCACACTCCCAACGGACCCTGGACCTGCACACCCTAGACCGTTTCCTCCACCTCCCCCAGCAGATCGGAGTGAGGAAACTGGGCCGGGAGCAGATCCCAGGGGCGTGGCAGGGAGGATCTGACAGGAAACCAGAGGAGCTGTTGACCACACCCCGGACATGGCTGCGGCCTCAGGGAAGCTGATCCCTACACCTCCCTCCCCATTCTTCACGAGTGGAACGTGCGGGGCTCAGTGATGGACTTGACCTGTGGGAGCAGGAAGATACTGCAGGGACGTGGTCTGATCTGTGTTTCCCGAAACATGTCTCTGGCTGCTGTGCAGAGGCTCGGGCACAGGAGCAGGAAGAGGAGCCAGGAGGACAGTGGGGGGTGCCAGCAATAGTCCTGGTAAGAAATGATGGTGGCCGGGGCCAGGCCGTGAGCAGGAAAGATGGCGCTTCTCCACCTCGGGCTCCCCTACTCACTCCTCTCCAGCTCCAGCTCCCTCACGGTCTCTCAGCCGCACCAGGGACACTCCTGCCTCAGGGCCTTTGCACTTGCTGTTTCCTCTGCCTGAGCTGCTCTTCCTTTAAATCTCCACAGGGCTCATTTCCTCTCCTCTTTCGAATTGTTGCTGCAATGTCACCATCTGTGTCCGGCCTTCCCTGACCATCCTATTTAAGATAATACCCCCTCGTGGAAACTAATTTGACAATAAACTATTTGTAAAAATAAATAAATAAATAAAATAAAAAACAAATAAATAAAATAAAATAATACCCCCTCCCTGCCCCCCTCCCAGGACTTCCTACCACTGCCCCCTGCTTTATTTTTCTGCATGGTGCTTATCACCTTCTAAGACCAGTGTCATTGAGCTGATTTGCTCTGCTGCTCTCTTTCAGCCAAAATCTGAATTCAAGGCCAGAGATTTCTCTCTGTCTCACTCACGGCCGCATCCCCAGAACCAGGAACGGTGTCTGACACGTGGTGGTTCCTCCAGATCACTGAGTCAGTGACTCACTGGACGTTCTCACTTGGGCCTGTAGGAGGTGGTAGATGGGAGGTGGAGCCCGGGGGGCGGGGACTCGCAGGTGCCTGCCCAGATGGAGGTGCTGAGATGAGGGGCCTCGGGTGGGGAGCTGGTGAGCGTGGCAGTACTCACAGGAATTGGGGGGCTTGTGGGGCGTCCATGGGGAGATGTCTGGGAGCACTGGCTGCGGATCTGGAGCTCAGGGAGAGGGCCCTGCTGGAGCAGGGTTGAAAGGGCTCAGTGCAAAGCTCACGGAAGAACAGAGTGAGGAAGGGACGGGGCCTGGGCCGAGCCTCAAGATAGAAACATTCCAGAGAAGGGCAGAAGACTGGGGCCGGGGGGGGGGGATCAGGAGAGGTGGGGTGCCATGAGGTTGATGTCCCCAGTGACATTCATCCTGGGCCAGTCTCCTTGCAGACCTGGGATCTTCGCGATGACAGCAGATGCGGTTCTCCAGCCCACAGCCAGCGCAATCACAGGCAGGCCTCGGAATGTTCTGGGAGGGGTAAGATGGGCCCCAGTGTGTTCGCCCAGCCACTGGGTTCTCCGGGGACCACAAAGGATTGCACCACCAAGGGCGGAGCTCCAGACTCTGACAGATGTGACGTCTCCCCCCATCCCCGCATCCGCACCCAGGTCCCCCGGCCTGCCGGAGTGGTGGAAGCAGGGGTGAAGAGGGGTGTCAAGAAACCACATATGACCTCAGGCTGGAGCTGTCTGGCCATGAGGTCAGCCCACCCAGCCACTCGGGCTTTTGGAAGTCAAGGACAGCGACTTCCTGGCAGGCGTCTGGCTCTCCCTTCCACCAAAACCGCAATCAACTCGCAGGCTGGCCTGGGGGCAGTCCCTTCTCCTGGTGGGTGGGGCGGCGCACTGGCATGCAAATCACGTCGGCCTCACAGAGGTCCAGCACTGTCACAGTCACATCCCGTGTCCTGGTTGCTGGGCCCCAGGCAGCAGCCACCCACGCCCCCTCCCAGTTCCCCGAGTCTGGGAATTTACAAGCCTGGGGGCCTCACCTCTCTGAACAAGCCCTGGGACTTCCAGGCAGAAATCGTTCCTTCCTATTTGCCTCATGACCCAGCCTGTCCTGGCCATGGTGTGCTGAGCCAAAAACAAAGTACAAGCACCAGAGGAAGGAAGGGGTGTGTGTGTGTGTGTATATGTGTGTGTGTGTCTGCATGTGTGTGCAAGCCCCCACATGTGTGCCGAGAATGTACGTCCCGATGGCTTGCATATCCATGTGTACACGTCCCTGAGTGTGTATTGTTCCTGTGTGTATGCGTGAGCCTATGTGAGCCGCTGTGCGTGTGAACGAGTAAGAGCGCGTCCCTGAACACCTGTGCGTGAGTGTGTACATAGCAGGGTCCCTGTGAGTCCCCCCCTGTGTGGGTATGAGCACATCTGTGTTTCCACGAACCTCAAGTGAACTGTGTGCGCGTGGGAGCCCGGGGAAGTGACTGCCGCTGTGCACGTGTGTCACGGTGTGGCCTGTGTGGCTCGCTGGCTTTGGCAGTGCCAGGCGGAGAGCGGCCAAAGTGCCAGGCAGCCCCTGCCTCACGCCCAGCCCTGCTAGTCACCCACGACACACTAGGCAATGGGCCACATGGGACCTCGGCACCTGTCACCATTGGGAAAGGGAGTCCCAAAGCTTGGAAGACATGAGGAGGGCGGTTGCGCTGGGGACACTGTGGACCCTGAGGGGGGAATCTAGGCCCCCACCCAGGCCGCCAGCCCTCAGCGCCCCCCAAAGACGCCTGTCTTGGTCTTGGGCACTAGGGCACCTTCCACCTGCCCTCGTGACCAGTAGATCTGGCTTTTCCCCTTCTACCTGTGAGCTCCCCACCCAATATCTGCTCTCCGCTTCTTCCTTCCTTTTTTCCAAGTTTTACTTCATTTGTACCTCTTTTATTTTTTATTTATTTATTTTTATACTTATTTTTGAGGCAGAGAGACAGAGCGTGAGAGCAGGGGAGGGTCAGAGAGAGGGAGACACAGAATCCCGAAGCAGGCTGCAGGTTCCGAGACGTCAGTACAGAGCCCAACACGGGGCTCAAACTCACAAACCGCGAGATCTACTCCCACCCAGGGACACTGCAGCCCTTATACTGCATGTATTTGAGTCAGGGAAGACTGTCCACCGTATCCCCTAAAGAAAGGCCATCAAAGTAGTACTTTCAGACCTCAGTGACGAAAAATGTTCACTTTCCTCAAGTATAGTGTATTTCTTAATATTCAGTGCCACGGATAATATGGCTTTTTGCTGTGCTATGAGAAAAATCAGAAACAAATATTCATGCTTCAAGCTTAACTGCAGAGACCCCTATATCTTTACGTCTAAATACTAGATAGCTGTTCTTCCAGGGGCTGACCTAATACACGTGTTTTCCCTTGACTTTTTAAAATCGCAGTATCTACTTTCCCATTTTGATGTATGATCCCAATAAACCTCTTAAAATTCAGTGATTAAAAAAAAAAAGTATGGAAAAGAGTTACCAAGGGACGGGGGGCGGGGGAGGGAATGTCACCGTTAGAAAAGGGAAGGGGCTTCTGGGGAGCTGGTCATTTTTTTTTTATCTGAATTCAATACAACTGGTGTGTTCTATTTGTGAAAACTGATAACTATACACTTACGTCTAACTCGCTGCATGGAAAAAGTAACAACCACCACCCCACAACAGTGTGCAATATAAACAAAACATTTTTAAAGATGTTATCTTTTTAGTCTCTACACCCCACGTGGGGCTTGAACTCACAACCCTGAGATCAAGAGTTGCACGCTCCACCAGCTGGGCCAGCCAGGCGCCCCAACAAAACATTTTTAGGAAGTGTGCAGGGTTGCCAAAATCCGTCTCCGGTCTGGATCCACACTTTTCAGCCACGAGTCTGTGATGTAAGGAAGAGACCCTCTCTATCTGGCGCTCGGGGTCTAACCACTGGGTTCCGCCCACCGGTCATCACTCGGGGCAGAGCCCGCTGCGCTTTTGAGGGATGGTTCTCGAAGAGTATTTGCTCTACGAACGACCGAACGACGGGCTCCGCAGCGGGGAGGGGCAGCCGGATTCCAGCGCTGCCTCCTCCCTCCCCGGGCTCGGCTGACCCGCGGGCTCCCGCAGGGGTAGGGGCGCGCCCCGCTCGCCCTCCCCCAGCTCCGCCGCAGCCCAAAGAGCGGACACCACCGCAGAACCACCGAGTGCAGGCGCCACGCGGGAGGCCAGAAAGACCCGAGCAATCGCCCGGGGACGCCGGAAGCTGGGCGGACGACCAGCCACCGGAAGTCAGTGGCGGCTTCAGGCCGGACGCTCTAGAATCCCGGAGGCCCGAGGTCTCTGTGGTTGGGCGCGTCGGATCACCCTCTAGTTTGGGTGGCGCATTACGAAGAGCCGAGCTCCCAGGACCGGTCGGGAAAATGAGGGGTGGTGCATAATCCTCGGACGATCGGAACGGATAGGGGGGAAAAGGGCCTAAAGAGGGAGGTTTCATGAGCCGACCGAGAAGGTAACAGATCCACGCACCTCAGCCCTTCGAACTGCTGGGACCAGAGGCGACTAGCGAGCAGTCAAAGCGCAGGATGGCAGTGCGCACGCACGCATGGGGACGTTGCCTTCCATTCACGGGGCGCCCGGGGCTGCTACGGCGCATGAGTCAGAAGACGGCGCCGGGCGGAGAGTGCCCCCCTGCGGAGCGCCGGGAGCCCTTTGGGCGGCTCCCTCGGGCAAGCTGGACAGCGGCGCGCGCGCGCGGGCGGAGGCGTGGCTTCCTCTGCAGGTGGGCCCGGATTGGACGCGGCAAGTAGAAGGGGTGGGAACCTCCGCGGAGACCGCCCAGTGATTGGCCAGAGGCTGGAGGGAGCGTGGTCTTGGGAGGCGGGGCGGGGGGACCGGCGGGGCAGAGCGCGACGCTGAGGTGGTGGCGGCGGCCTTGAACAAGTGAGCGAGCGACTCTTTTAGTACCCCTCCACGGGGGACGGGAGACCGGGGAGGCGGGGAGCAGCGGCGACCTCCGGAGGCCCCGAGGAGTTGTCGGAGTGGGGCGCCATTCGGTGAGTGTTGACCGAGAAAAGCGAAGTGCCCCGCCCCTCCCTTTCTTCCTGGACCGCGCCTGGCGGCGCCTCCCCCACCTCCCACCCTGCGTTCCGCCCGGGACCTGAGCTCTGGGTTCCAAGTCCGGGTGTGGAACTACTACTACGTGCCAGCCGCTCTCTTTCGCTCCCTTCCTGGCCCCCGTCGGCTTAGGGAACTTGGAAACCCCCTGGTACTGCTCCCCAGCCTCACAGAGGGGAAACTGAGGCCTGGGAGGGCGGCGGGCCCCTCCTCACCAGCGTCTCCGCACAGAAGCCATGGCCGAACCCCTGAAGGAGGAAGAAGGCGAGGACGGCTCTGGGGAGCCGCCCGGGCCGGTGAAGGCGGAACCCACCAACACCGCCGCCTGTGTAGCGGCCAAGAACCTGGCCCTGCTCAAAGCGCGCTCCTTCGATGTGACCTTCGACGTGGGGGACGAGTACGAGATCATCGAGACCATAGGCAACGGGGCCTACGGGGTGGTGTCCTCAGCGCGCCGCCGCCTCACCGGTGAGCTTCCCTATCGTGAACCGCTTCCAGATCTGGGAAGCCCGTTCCCAGAGAGTGAGAAACTGCTCCGTCCCCGACAGCCAGGAGGAAAGCTGGGACCTAAATTCTGGTTTTAGGCAACAAATACCGCTGAGACGGCTTCTGGCGTGCCAGGCTCTGTGTTGGGCACAGTTCTCGGGAGCTGCCCTTGGTGGTTTTGCCTATTTCTTAGGGAAAAAAAACGACAATCCCAATTAGACCAGCATGGAGATCCCATCTTTGGTTTCTAAAAGAGAAATGCGTTCTGGAGCCAGAGACTGGTGCAAGGAATTGGTGGTGGGATGGGCGAGGTCTGAGATGGAGAGAGAGTGTAGGGGCGTAGAATGAGCACGGGCATTTAGAGTCAAGACTGTGCCACTGACTAGCCACATGACTAGTGAGTTACGGAGCCAGAGGTTCATCGTGTCCAACATTGAACTTCTGTCTCAGGATAGACGTGAAGGGAACATCTGGTAATGTATGCAAAGTGCCTGGGACAAGGCCCGGCACATAGTAGGTTCTTGCTATACGATAGTTGTTATTCAGTATATGGTAACTGCGTTCTAGAAGGGAGATATTGAGGGGGTTCCTGGGTGGCCGAGTGAGTTGAGTGCCTGCTCAGGTCATGATCTCACGGTTTTGTGAGTTGGAGCCCTGCACAGGGCTGTGGGCTGAAAGCTCAGAGCCTGCTTAGATCCTCTGTCCCCCTCTCTGCCCCTCCCCCACCTTTGCACACACTCTCTCCCAAAAATAAATACAACGTTTAAAAAGTAGAAGGGAGATGCTGAAAGGGGCCTTTTGCCAATCTGAGTCCACTCTAAGGAACCTCATGGTATCTTCCTTTTCCTTGCTCCCCAGGCCAGCAGGTAGCCATCAAGAAGATCCCTAATGCTTTTGACGTGGTTACCAATGCCAAGCGGACCCTCAGGGAGCTGAAGATCCTCAAACACTTCAAGCACGATAACATCATCGCCATCAAGGACATCTTGAGGCCCACTGTGCCCTACGGGGAGTTCAAATCTGTGTAAGGAGCAGGGATGGGAGAGAAAGGCAGAGGCGGGACCTTTTCTGAAGGCCGGGGCCGTGTTGCTGAAGTTTCCGAAGGGCAGCTGAAGGCAGGCTGGCAAAACTCCCATGATTCCAAGACCAGTGTCCCTGAGGGCTTTGCCGGGGACAACTGTGATTGCTCGTGAAGAGTACAGACGTTACAGATTTAGGAAATCTCGGTATGTGGGATGGCAAACGTGGGACCTTCATGGGATAACTGCCCCCCTCTGTTCTCATAGCAGGTTATCACCGGTCAGTCATAGAATACTCTCTTAACAAAAACTGGGCACACCTACGCAGTTTTCACGTGGTCTCTCAAGCAGCCGTACCGAACAGTGGAGATGGCCCCAAAACTAAACCCGTTAGCCGGCCCTGGTTTAGTCCACCCCTCTCTTCTCTTTGATGGGGAAACTAGGTCTAGAGAGAAGTGATTTAACTTCACTTGAGGTCACGGAAAAGTTGAGAAAATCTAGACTCTTCATACCGTGCCATCACCCCACCCACAGAGTGCAGGGAAGAGGCCGTTTCCTGTCGCGCCGGGGGCGTGTCATGAGGCAGGGGCTGCCGCAGGGGCCAGGCAGCCATGCCTCTCTTTCTTGCCCCTTCTAGCTATGTGGTCCTGGACCTGATGGAGAGCGACCTGCACCAGATCATCCATTCCTCACAGCCGCTCACTCTGGAGCATGTGCGCTACTTCCTGTACCAGCTGCTTCGGGGCCTCAAGTACATGCACTCGGCTCAGGTCATCCACCGCGACCTCAAGCCCTCCAACCTGTTAGTGAATGAGAATTGTGAGCTCAAGATTGGTGACTTTGGCATGGCCCGTGGCCTGTGCACCTCGCCGGCTGAGCACCAGTACTTCATGACTGAGTACGTGGCCACACGCTGGTACCGCGCTCCCGAGCTCATGCTCTCGCTGCATGAGTACACGCAGGCTATCGACCTGTGGTCTGTGGGCTGCATCTTTGGTGAGATGCTGGCCCGGCGCCAGCTCTTCCCGGGCAAAAATTACGTGCACCAGCTGCAGCTGATCATGATGGTGCTGGGCACCCCATCGCCGGCTGTGATTCAGGCCGTCGGGGCGGAGAGGGTGCGGGCATATATCCAGAGCCTGCCGCCACGTCAGCCTGTGCCCTGGGAGACCGTGTACCCGGGCGCTGACCGCCAGGCCCTCTCGCTGCTGGGGCGCATGCTGCGTTTTGAGCCCAGCGCCCGCATCTCCGCAGCTGCTGCCCTTCGCCACCCCTTCCTGGCCAAGTACCACGATCCTGACGATGAGCCTGACTGTGCCCCGCCATTTGATTTTGCCTTTGACCGTGAAGCCCTCACTCGGGAGCGCATTAAAGAGGCCATCGTGGCGGAGATTGAGGACTTCCATGCGCGCCGCGAGGGCATCCGCCAGCAGATCCGCTTCCAGCCTTCCCTGCAGCCGGTGGCCAGTGAGCCTGGCTGCCCCGATGTCGAGATGCCCAGTCCCTGGGCTCCCAGCGGGGACTGTGCCATGGAGTCACCTCCGCCAGCTCCCCCGCCATGTCCTGGCCCTGCACCTGACACCATTGATCTGACCCTGCAGCCACCCCTGCCGCCCAGTGAACCAGCCCCTCCGAAGAAGGAGGGCGCGATCTCAGACAACACCAAGGCGGCCCTCAAAGCTGCCCTGCTCAAGTCCCTGCGGAGCCGACTCCGAGGTGCACTGCCGAGGCCGCGTCTGGCCAGGGAGTGGGGTGCAGAGGGGGGACCCCCAGCATGGACAGGCCACAGACTCTTACCCTCCCTCTGCCAACCTCTCCGCAGATGGCCCCAGCGCCCCTCTGGAAGCTCCTGAGCCTCGGAAGCCAGTGACGGCCCAGGAGCGCCAGCGGGAGCGGGAGGAGAAGCGGCGGAGGCGGCAAGAGCGAGCGAAAGAGCGGGAGAAGCGGCGGCAGGAGCGGGAGCGCAAGGAGCGGGGGGCCGGGGCCTCGGGGGGTCCCTCCACTGATCCCCTGGCTGGGCTGGTGCTCAGTGACAATGACCGCAGCCTGTTGGAGCGCTGGACTCGCATGGCCCGGCCTCCGGCGCCCACGCCCGCCCCGGCCCACGCCCCGGTCCCCACACCCAGCCCAGCCCAGCCCCCCAGTCCTCCTGCCGGCCCCCCACCACAGCCTGCCTGCCCACCCTCCGGTCCTGCTCCCCTCCCCGCCAGCCCTCCTGGGCCCGCCCCTGGCCCTGCGCCCCTCCAGAATGCCACCTCTAGCCTCCTGGCTCCCCAGTCACTTGGGCCACCCTCTGGGCTGCCCGGCCCCGGCTCCGTAGGTGTTCTGCCTTACTTCCCATCTGGCCCACCTCCTCCAGACCCTGGAGGGGCCCCTCAGCCGTCCACCTCAGAGTCTCCCGATGTCAACCTGGTGACCCAGCAGTTGTCCAAGTCGCAGGTGAGAGGCGAGGCCCGGGCTGTGGGCACTCCTGGACCTGGGCCCAGGGACACTGTGCTCAGGGAGTCCTTGCTGTTGGTGGGCATGGGGCATGGGGGGAGGCCTGGGTGTGTCTTTATTCCATGAAGACTGAGGGGCAGACGGGGCTTATCTCAGAACTTGTCCCCTTGCTCTTAGAAGGAGCATAATGTCTGTGAGACATATAAGATGCTTCCCGGGAAGAGAGCTTGGACCTGGACCGAGATGGTCCCTGATCAGCAGTCAGTGATCGTCAAGGGTGGTGCTGTCACCCGCAGGCGTCCAGGCGACGGTGCTGGCAGCATCAGGACAGACTCATAGATGTCTGTCCACCCTCGGCAGCGCATGTGTGGTAACGTGCCGTCATCCATTGCAGGTGGAGGACACCTTGCCCCCGGTCTTCTCGGGCACTCCGAAGGGCAGTGGGGCCGGCTATGGCGTTGGCTTTGACCTGGAGGAATTCCTAAACCAGTCTTTTGACATGGGCGTGGCTGACGGGCCACAGGATGGGTAAGATGGCAGGACCCAGCTTCTGGAATGGGGCTGTGGGTAGGGTTTCCTGTTGGAGGAGGAGCTTGCCTGTGGGACGGGCAGGGAGCCAGCCTCGGCTAACAGTGCCTCTCCCCTCCACTCTCCCTGCTTCCCTTACCCCTGCAGCCAGGCCGACTCGGCCTCGCTCTCGGCTTCTCTGCTGGCTGACTGGCTGGAGGGCCACGGCATGAACCCTGCCGACATCGAGTCCCTGCAGCGTGAGATCCAGATGGACTCCCCAATGCTGCTGGCTGACCTGCCTGACCTCCAGGAGCCCTGAGGCCCCACCGCCTGGGCCTCGCTGCAGGGGCGGGCCCAGCGACAGGACTCGGAAACCTTTCCAAGGGCTGGAGCCTTGGGCCCAGCAGCGGAAGCTCGGCTAGACTCTTCTGCAGGTTCATCTCAGACACGCTCTGCAGCCTTAAGCAGCCACCTGAGCCACCACCAAGCGACGGGAGGAGCAGGAAACCTCTACTCCTTGAGCAATCCTGTTCAGTATTGTGTTTTTATTATTATTATTATTATTATATTAATATTATTATGTGATCTTTTTGCCATCCAAATGAGGCCTGTGAAATATAAGGTTCCCTTTAGTGCCTAAGTCTAGGTGTGTTTCTGGAGTTTGGGGGCAGGATGTTATAAGTAGGGGAGCGGGGAGGAGCCAGGTCCTCCGCGTTTGGGGGCCAAGCAAACACACTTGCACGCACAAGAGCCAAAGCCAGTTCGTTCAGATCCTGAGGTTTATTGAGATCATCACTCCCCACCTGCTTCCAGCCCAACAGGGGGCCCTCCGCCCCTTCACGTGGTCAGACCTCAACCCTGGGGTGGGGGGACCTCATATCTATGCCTACCTTGGTTGTACTGTTTTAGAGTGGCGTGCAGTAGCCTCAGTGAAATACGGTTCCGGCATTGAGCTCTGGGAGTCTGGGACAGGCCGGTGGGGGACGCTGCGTATGACCGCGAGATGGGGCTGGGGCCCGTGCTGCTCACCATTGGGGAACGAGTCGGTGGGAGGGAGGCGAAGGGTGGGAAACACTCAGGACGGTGCGGCTGCCGTGGCCACACACGGGCGGCCTGGAGGACGCGGGGGGCGTTGGTCAGACTATGCCAGCTCGCTCTAGCACGCTAGGGGGGCTCCGGACGGAAGAGTCCACGCTACGGAAGCTGGTTGAGGGGGAGGGCAGAAGCCCACCGCCTAGGAGGGCAGTTCAGCCTTTGGGGCAGGGCAGAGGCGAGGAAGAGTCTCCTGGGGCCTGGTCGGGTCTGGGCCAGAACGGCTGCACCTTTCAGGGGACGCCTGGCTAAGCTGCTGGCAGCGTGGCCTTTGATGAAGGGAGCAGAGGCCTGGCCTTGAGGTGGACACCCCGGGGGCGACAGGACCCGCTGTGGCGGGAGCCACGAGATCCCCTGTGGGAAGCAGGTGCTAAGAGAGCAGCGAGCAGGGGTGGGGCAGGGCGCAGAGGGAGCACTCCTGGAGACCCGGAGCAGCCAGGAGGGGGAAGGCAGGGCCTGATGGGGGCCAGCCCCTCAGGCCCGGCGGATTTTCATCTCGGTGCGCTTGAGGGAGTAGTAGAAGCCCTTCCACTGGGCCCAGTTGATGCCGTTAGCGTAGGAGAGGTGGGAGCCGCCCAGGTAGAAGCCGTTGAGGTTGGCGAAGTGGCAGCTGCGGAACCAGAAGGCTCCCGAGGACAGGGCCGCACAGTTCTGCACGAAGAGGTCCTGGTCCCGGTCGAAGGTGGAGAATTTCTGGCCGCTGTGGTAGGACAGGGAGTCGCCTGGCGGAGGGAGGAGGGATGGGCCCGCTGAGGCGGGGCGCCAGGGCCCCGCGCTGGCAGGGAGGGGGGTGACGGTGACGCCGTGCGAGGCGTCACGTGGCAGCCCGGCGGGACGGGGCACCCTCCCCGAGTCGGCTGCAGGGTAGCTGTGCTCGTGCAGTGAAGAGAAACAGCTGCTCCTCGCAGCACCGCCTGGAGCGCGTGGACGCGGCTTCTCCCCGGGCTGGGCTGGCGAGGCCCAGGCTGGGTGGGAGCCAGCAGGGGGGGGAGGGAGGGGCCCGGAGGGGGCTGGGGGCCAGCCCTGCCTTCTCCTCCCCTCCCCCCGCAGCCCCTGGTTAGGGGGCAGCAGGGGGTACCTGCCCCGCCGTCCTCGAAGCCCGCCACGTAGAGGGTGTAGCCGTCCTCCTCAGCACTGACCGCGTTGGGCGAGATGGAGAATTCAGCGTACTTGGCCGAGGCCGTGTTGTTCTCAAAGTCCTCCAGGTCCACTCGCAGCTCGTACTTCTGCTTCAGCGTCAGGAGGTGCAGGTTCTGCAGCCCTGCGGGGGGGGGAGGGGCAGCTGCTCAGCAAAGCTCTGGCCCAGGGCAGCCCCCAGCCCACGGGACTCAGCCTTACCCAGCCAGTACTTACCCAGCCAGTACTCCCCGTCGGCACGGCCGAAGCCCAGCTTATAGTCATTCCAGCCCCGGAAAAAACTCACGGAGCCATTGAATCTCTTCTGGAAAACCTGGAGCACAGAGGACAGGCCTGGACGATGAAGAGCCCAGGGGGTGGGGGCCTCACGCAGGTACGGACCCTGTGATGCTGAGGGACTTTGTTGGAGGACCAGATTGGGGCCTAAAACAAGGCGCATGTTGGCACCAGACCTCTCGGTGAGCAGCTCCTGAGTGCCAGGGAAGGGTTAAGGCAGGGGAGTCGTTCGAGAGTTCAGGCAGCTGGCAGTGAGTTCCGGGCTGTGTGACTTTGGGCAAACGACTTCACCTCTCTGGGCTTCAGTTCCTCTGTAGAAGGTACCTTTCTCCCAGGATTTTTGTGAGGATACAGGCACTAACCTGCGTTAAGCACCTAGAATTCGGTGTCGGCAGCGGCTCCCAGGCTGCGCTGGGGGTACCGTGATCCCCGTTAGAGACGACCAGACTGAAGCTCCCAGAGGGGAGGCTCGGTCCCACCGCGGGGGCAAGAACCCGGCCCCCTCCGCTCCGTCCTGCCACTCACCGTCCACTTGCCGCCCGTGGTGGTCATGTCACAGAAGACGGGCACGGGCACGCTGGGGCCCGAGGGGTAGATGAGGTACACGCCGTCCTCCTGGTAGCCCTGGGCGTAGATGTCATCGCAGTCCAGGGGCTGCTGAAGGCAAAACTTCTCCAGAGCTGGGGGCAGGGGCGGGGAGGGTGAGGAGAAGGGGACCAAGGCATACCCGGCGCCCCGCAGCTTGCCCCCATTCCCAGGGCCACAGGCCATCAAGGCATTTCTTTGGGGGGGGGGGCGGGAGGGGATGCTCAAAGATCATCTCCACCTGCCCGGTGCCTTAGAGGAGGCCCTGGCTCCCAGTACGATGGCCTGGAGAAACCTCTCCTCGCCCAGCCCGCTGGCCAGGCCGCTTACCGTCTCCCCGGATCCCAGAGACCTGGGGGGCGCAGGGGGGCGTGGAGAGAAGCAGCAGCAGCGGCAGGACCAGGAGGGCCTGGGACACGACGAGAGGTCACCTTACCCCAACCCTCCTCCCCCCACCCCTGCAACCAGCCCCGGAGCCCCCCCGCGTTCTCCGCACCCCTCCCTCAGGCTGAGCACCCCCTGCCAGCAGCCCCTTGCCTTCCCCCTCTGGCCCCTCTTTTCCCACCAGAGAACCCCCACTCTCTGGGCCTCACAGCTTAGGAGTCTCGACTGGATCACGAGAGTGTCCTGTGCTTCGTCGCCCCCTCTCTGGTGAGGGCCCTCTTCCCTCAAGCGGGCTCAGGCCCCAGTACCTTCATGCTGCCGGTTCAGCTCAGAGCGGCCGGGTGTCTGCTGCCCCAGACGGCACCCGCCCAGAGTTATGTGCTGGGCCCTGGCCAGCCGCCCCGGCCCCGCCCCCTGTAGCTGCAGAGCCCCCCTCTCCCCTCCCCGGCACTGACCCGGCATCTGCTTTCACGGTCAGGGGGGCCAGGGGCTGTGGGGCCCAGGCCAGGGGACCACCTGCGTCTCATTAGGCTGTCGGGGGTAGAGCGCTGGCGAGTTAGCTCGCTGCTGAGTCACACTGCTCCCTGGAGCCCCTCTGCCACCCGCCCCCTGGACCTGGTACCCCCCGGCACCCCCAGCAGCCCATCCCCTGCCTCCTAATGCGCGCCCCCCCCACCCCGCCCCCAGATGGCTGTTTATTTTCTTCTTCCCTGGCCTGTGTTTCATCAGCCTTTGGGGGAAGGCTAAGGAGTGGTGGGGAGGGCGTGGGTATGCCTGGGTTCTGGGGAGAGGAGGCCCATTATGGGGGAGCAGAGGGCTGGGGAGGCAGCCTCGGAGCTCCTGATGTGGGAGCCTGTCTGGGGCTGGAGGGGGATCGGGGCAGCGGGGGCCAGGCCGTCTCCTGGCAGGCCTGGTACATTTCTGAGCCATGAGCACAGCGTGCAGGCGTCCAACTGCTGTCTGCCCCAGCTCAAGCCAGGGCCCCTCTCCAGCCCCCCCCCAGTCCCCCTTGCTCTGGCCCCTCAGGCCCCCTCCTCCCCCCTCCCACAGAGTCCCCCGGGGATCTGTCTGGCACTGAGCACTGAGCGCAGGGCCTCTCTTCTCTTCACCTCACCCCACCCCCCTTCCATCTCCCAAACCTTTCACTTCAGCCCCCATCCCCCCTCAGACTCCCCACTAGACCCCCCTTAGTGGTGTCCCATTCTCTCAGCCCTGAAAACCCCCCTCTTGCCTGGTCGCCCTCACAAGCCAGGGTGTCCTGCTGTCTGTCTCCCAGCAATTCCTGGGGCCCATCGCTCCTGTCTGCTTTTAGGCTCCAGGCCTCCGTGGGGTCTCCTTGGTGCTCATCACCCCCAGCCTCTCCCCAGATGCCCCCGCTTCGGTTCCCTCCCTCCCTCCTTTCCATCCTCAGCACAGGCTGCAGAACACTCTGGAGGGCTGCCTTGTCCTCACCTGCCTCAAGCCTCTGGTGGCTCCCTACAGCCTCAGGGTTGAGGCTGTTGCTCACCTTGGACTTGAGAGGAATTTTAAGTCTGGCTTAGGCTTGGTACCTAAGGACCTCATCCCCTGACTGCCTGTGACTCCTCACGCACAATCTACCCACACCAGATCTGTCCCCATGGGACCACCCCCCGCCCCCCACCTTTGCCCACTCAGTTGTTCCCCGAGGGGCCCACCTGTTAGTCTTCTCTACCAGGCCCTGAGTGCAAACGGGCCAGGTCCATGTCATTCCAGCACGCTTTGCACACATCACAGCCCGGTACGTGCGTTCAATCACAGATCAGATATCTTTTGAGCACCTGCTTTGTGCTAGCCGTTGGGGACACAGTTTCTGCCCTTAAGGAGCGGCAAACCCCGGCATTAGCTCACTGCAAATGTTAACGGGTGTTAATCTCTGTGGTGTTAAGCCTCTGTGGAATGGACGAACGAATGAAGTATCCAGAGGCACAGAGTGAGAAAGCGGCTCTGGCCCAGGTCCCCTCTCCCAAGTCAGGAAGGCCCCGGGGTGAGCTCAGTGGGCTCCCTCGGCTCGGCTCTGTAATTGCTGCTGAGCATTGTCTCTTTAGTTGTGTCGTGCCCTGGCGGTTCTGGAGTCAGGCCGCCAGCATTCAAAGCCAGGTGGTGCCACCTGTTAGCCGGGAGACCTTGGGCAGGTTCTTGTACCTCTCTGCCTCAGTTTCCTCCTCTGTAAACTGAGGATAGTAATAGTATCTCCTTCCCAAGGCTGTGGGAAGGAGTAATACATAACAAGTGCCATATAACGTGCACCACAGTACGTGACTATGCCTACAACCCATAACTAATAAATTTTACTTATCATCCTTAACGTCATGAGTGTTCTTACATGATGGTCTGTCTTCAGCGTGATGTTCATCCTGGTCTGTGGAAGAGCTGGGTGCCTGCCTCTCCGTATCCTCCACTATTCCCTCAGTCCGAAGTGGTGAGGCTGATTGCCTAGGCTCCATCGGTGGAGCCACATGTCTTTGCTGACGAGATGCAAATGGAAGTTTGGTAAAGGTGGGGCGCTGTTCTGACTTCCTGCTGTTGGTCCGGTTGCCGGGCGCGATGGCTGGAGCTCCAGCCACCTCTTTGACCAGTGAGGATGAAGCCCTGTCAAGAGATGGTAGAAAGTGGGCCAGTCTGGCTAGCTCATTCGGCAGAGTCCTCGACTCTCGATCTCAGGGTTGTGGGTTTGAGCTCCATGTTGGGTGTAGAGATCTCTCAAAAAAAGAGAAAGAGATGGTGGAGCGTGATCAGGGAGGAGCTGGGTCCCTCAGGACTTTGTGGAATGGGTCCAAGGCCAGGCTCTGGACTGCCCTTCCCTAAGCCTCATTTACATGGACGAGAAAGAAACTTTTATCTAGCTTAAGCCTCTGTTGTTTTTCTCCTGTTACACAGCTGAATCTGATCCTAATACATCTCTCCTTTCAGCAAATGCCAGCTAATTTTAGCACAGGCTACAAATAGGAAAATAATGAAAAATCAGTCATCAAAAAAAAATATGTAGTAGAACACAACTAATAAAAAATGTAGGAACAGACAACAGCAATGAGTATCAATCATATTTTGCCCATTTTTTAAAAATGTTTTTATTTATTTCTGAGAGAGAAACAGCGTGAGCAGAGGAGGATCAGAGAGAGAGGGAGACACAGAATCTGAAACAGGCTCCACGCTCTGAGCTGGCTGTCAGCCCAGAGCCCGATGCGGGGCTCGAACCCACGAACCGTGAGATCATGACCTGAGCCAAAGTCGGACGCTTAACCGACTGAGCCACCCAGGCGCCCCTGCCCATTTTTTTAAAACTTAAGAATGTATGTAGGTGTGGCAAAGCGGGTGCTCTGCTTGCGGGTTGCGGCTGGAATTAGGTTAACCTTCCAGAGAAAGAGGTTTGGTAGTCCATACCAAAGGTCAGGAACGCCTCTCCGAAGATGCTGTCTGAAGGAAGTGCCCTGACCTTTGAAAAGGCACACGTACTGGTTAGTGGTCATATTTGTGAGCTGCCCACCATGGGAACCTTCCTCCCGTGTTTGGGGGATCCCCCCTAACTGGAATACCTGGGCTCGCTCTCCCAGCCTTTCTTGAAGCTCTGCTGAGGGCACCTGACCTCGGTTTAGCCACGCAAAGGCATTGCCCCGTGCTTCCTTTTAGGGAGATCTTGATTTAAGACGCAGGAGAATGAAGGATCCGCTCTTGGGGTGGCAGTGACCCCAGAAGCTCTGGCTTCTAGGGCTTCTGGCTGGTTGCTGGCGACTTTGCAAGCACAACACCAAGTCCCATTGGCTCTGGCTTGGTTCTCAGCTCTCTTGGCAACTGCTTTTCTCTGGCCATGATCGGTGCGAGAAAGACCCCCCTCTCGTGGGTGAAGATTTTTTACGTTAGGGTGTTTTCGCTGCCGGCAGCGGACGCCAGAGCTGACCAACTTTGCTGAGAGGCTTTCAGGGCCTTGGAATTGTGGAGAAATAGCCTGAGCGGGGACGAGGGGGAGCTGAGGCGGGTCCTCAGGGGTGGTCTCGTGGCGGGGGACTGTCCGGCAGGGTGGTGCTGCTCACAGCACAGGCCGGGGCTTCGTCAGCCTGCGAGCCAGGACGTGGGGGGCGCCTGGCCCGCTGGCCGTGCTTGGGTCGCTTGCCTACCCACTTGGCATTTGCCACTCTACCTCCTCTTTCTTCGTCCTGCTCTGGTGGTGATGCCCAGGGCATCGCTGGCCCCTGGCTCCTGGCTGGAGATACAGCAGCTTCTGGCTGCTTCTCCCTGGCTCCCATCCTGCCCCGGGCGGGGGTTTCAGCAATGGCTGTGCCCGCCTCCCCACCCCCAAGTGCAGTGCTTACCGTAACCCCCTTCACTGGCCCTGCTCACTGCATGCCCCCCCCCCCCCCGCCCCCTGGGGTGCCGAGCCCCCCCCCCCCCCCCGCCATTGCTTTCAGCGCCCCCTGCTGGCGCCCACACCCAAGTGAGTGGTCCATGAAATTCCCTTGCGAACAAAAGCTCAGTCTGCCTTTGTTTCCTGCCAGGACCCCGACCGGCAGCCCGTGGGCCATCTTAGACGACAGCCAAAGACAAGGACCCCGCCCCGCCACCAACTCTCTGTCGGGGCTGGGCATCATCTCTCCAAAGGACTTTCCTAACTGCCCCTCCGCTCATCACCCCGCCTCCAGCCCGAACCCGAGCCCGGAGAGGGCTGAGGAGGGCAGCTTTTAAGGGAACTCCTAGGAGCAGAGAGCAATCAAGGAGGGGGGAGATTGTGTCCCCCAACCCAGGCCATGTGAGGGGGCTCCAGGAAGGCTGAGGCTCTCTGCAGGGGAGACCCTGGCTACTGCAGCAGGGGAGGGGCTGTTGGGAAGAGGGCAGGGCCCGCATGGTCACTGGCGGGACAAGAATGTGGCGTCCCCGGAGCACCTGGGTGGCTCAGTCGGTTGAGCGTCTGACTTCGGCTCAGGTCATGATCTCACGGTTTGTGGGTTCGAGCCCCGCATCCGGCTCTGTGCTGACAGCCAGCTCAGAGCCTGGAGCCTGCTTCAGATTCTGTGTCTCCCTCTCTCTCTGACCCTCCCCTGCTGTTTGTCTCTGTCTGTCTCTGTCTCTCTGTCTCTCTCTCTCAGAAATAAATAAAACCTTTTTAAAAAATTTTAAAAAGAATGTGGCGTCCCCTGAGCACACATCAGGCATCCTTTACTCCCTATACAGGCAGCAGGGGACAGACAGGACTTTCAGCCCTCCTGGAGCTAGAGGGGAAACACACGGGAAATGATGAGCACAGTGAAAAAGAAAGCGGGGGAGGGGTGGGGAAGAAGGAGTGCTGGCCGGCTGACCTGGGGTCCCAGGTCCAACGTCGTTTTTG